TTACGAAGGATGACATAGCGGCCTCGCTGGATAGCACGAAAGGAGTGCCCGAGCCTTTTGGAGTTTTCTTCTTTCATCGCTGCCGTGGCTTATATGTGGTCGCCACACTAAACCTCCAGTCTATAACACATTCGTGAAAGAAGAAGATGGACCTTGCGTCGCGGAGGGTTGCTGTGAAAGTGAGTGATAGCAGTTGGGGACAGTTGTGTGAATTCCATCTGGACAGGCTTGAGTCTGCCAATCGATTTGGTTTGTTGCCTGCGGTTGACCAGCACTTTATAATATGTTTGAGTCCTCTTCGTGCTTAAGTACGGTCCGTGGTAAAGTGGTTTAAGGTTCCGGCGAACAGCATCGTCTCGTGCGATAACGTGGCTTTTCTTGAAAAGACCAATATCAATGAAAACCGGCCGTAGCGATCGCCGTCGTGGGCATGTTGGTTGTAGTTTCGACATGGTGTCTTTGAGCGGATGAACATAGTTGGTTGGGGTCCGGAGGAAGCGCTGGGTCCTTAGGGTTGAAAAAGTGTTGTGCAAAACGCAGGGACATTTCAGGAACCAGCTCTGCTGGAGTACATGAAAGTTCATCTTTGAATGCCGTTTGCTTGCCCAGGAATATACTAGCGATTCTGTCCAATGAGGGTAACCTTGACGCAAAAAAATTGGGTTATGGGGATATTTATACAGCGTGTAGTTGGTCAGCCATTAAAGTTGCGACGAGTCACTCGCTGTAGATGAGCAAGTTAGCCACCATGATTCAAGCTTTTAGCTGGCGATGTAATCTTTCAACATGACCATTGGCTATATGTGAATCAGGGAAAAAAAATTCGAGTGTGAAAGTGTGCATGCGTCTCTGTGTGGGGGAGTGAAAAATACGCCCTGTAATCCTCGGAGCAGGGAATTACGGGGGGACGGTCACGTACAGTGCTAATCACACTTGTCTATAACGCGCGAGCGAGCGGCTTTCTCCGGGGAGCGCTGGACTGCTGGCAATCGCGAAAACTAAGCTAGTCACGTGGCGCAACATGGAACGGCCCGCTCGAGGGGTGTCCTGCCCGCTCTATCAGCTTGATAAGCGATAAAAGTAAAGTGCTTTATGATATATTTTTTGTTTTTTGATGACGACATCGTTGATACGTTTTCATGCTTTAGTGTGTTGATTGTTCGAGCAATGATGTTTGTAAAAAGCGTGCGAGCAGCCTTCCGCGTTCGCCGCCAGCTGATAGAGTGGGCAGGACACCCCTCGAGCGGACCGTTCCATGTTGCGCCACGTGACTAGCTTAGTTTCCGCGAATGCCACCAGTCTAGCGCTCCCCGGAAAAAGCCGCACGCTCGCGCGTTATAGACAAGTGTGATTAGCACTGTACATGCGCATGTTTGCCTTCGCTACTGCTTTCGCAAAGAGGCGGCACCGGTGCAGTCGGTTCGTTGCATCTTTAATGTATTTTGTCAAACAAGCATGAATATGCCTGGTATTGCGGGTAATGCTTTGTTCAGACTGCGGACGCAACTTGCATAAAAATTATACTTGTCGTTTCTACCATCACGACCGTAACTGATGTTTACGGCAATTTTGTTCGCAACGATTGCTACGCAAGTTAAGGCTTTTATGACAGGCCAGTCAGAAGGCGCATAATTTACCTAACTAGAGACACAGGCTACCACGAGGCGGCAAAAGGCGCATGATAAAATCTCCTGGAGCTCAAATATTCACTGGGCGCCATGTTTGAGGACGCTGTTCAGAGCTAATGCTCAGAACCAGCTCACAGTAATAGGCCGCGAAGACCGGCAATTTTGATAGTGTGGAAAGCACATTGCAAACAAACAGTTGAAGTTCGCCGTCATCACGCGATCCGCAGTTCTGGACCAATCTGTGCCCGCCAGTGAATACTCCCTATACGCTTTGCCCGCAAACGTTAAAACAAATCGCCGGGCGGTCAGCAGCAGCTCCTCTCTGGGCTGGCTTGGAGGCAGGAAGTTCCGCGCCCGGTAGAAGCCAAGTGAAACCTCGTCGCGCATTGACAAAGGCGTAAGAGGCGTAAACGTCGATGTCGCTTTAACGCTCTTACCCATGAATATTTTACCAGTTGCGTACGTTCTGATTTTTCTGCTGGTTGTTTGAACAATATCCTGAAGGCCCGTTTAGGGCCGTGGTTTTGTCGTGCTTAGGACAGAACTCTAGTATTTTCTTACGACGTGAGAACACACTGGAATGCTGGAGCCATCTATGATGTGACCTTGAAACTGCATTTCACTATAGAGCGAAAGTTTTGCGGTATGTTCGAGATAAACTGTACTTACTATCTATAAGAGATGTTCGTTTATAACATTGTTGAACGTTGTTAAAACAGCGACAAGCAAATAAATATATATACAAAACTGGAAGTGTTCCACGACTAGCTGTAGAAGGCGCTAGTGTGTTCTCTTGGTGTAAAATATCTTAGGAAGGTGCACGGTCGTAAGCAGTCGCAAGTGTGTGAACCAGCCTGAATGCTCCTGGCATTTATGTTTGCGCGTTATAAAAGATCTACGCGTTGGGACCGTAGTGTGAACCTAGCTTTACCGTTCTTCGAAACTCCACAATATTTGATAAGTAACGACGAAAGTTCATATCGTTACCTAGAGTTTAAGAGACGCAGTGCGCGGCATTTTACATTCGCGCTTCTTGCTTCACAATACGTTCTTGTCGATCTCATCGGTTAATGCCGCAATTTCATTGACTGCGGTCGAAGCGAAAATAAGGTGCGCAATGGCTCGCTACGCACTGCGTTCCTTACATTGTCAGTGCATATAGTCGAACGGCGCATTTGTGTTTTAGAGCGCAGCTCTTAGGCACCCGTTCCCGGCTTGAGCGGCGTCGGCGTCGCCGTCGCCGTCGGCGTAACCGCGAGTAACCCTCGTAACCCTCGTGAGGGTTACGAGGGTTACGAGGGTTAATCTCACGAGGGTTACCCTCACGAGGGCTACGAGGGTTACTAACCCTCATAGCCCTCACGAAGGTTACGAGGGTTATGAGAGTTACCCTCACGAGGGTCACGAGAGTTGCCCTCACGAGGGTCACGAGGGTTACCCTCACGAGGGTTACGAGAGTTACCCTCACGAGGGTCACGAGGGTTACCCTCACGAGGGTCACGAGGGTTATGAGAGTTACCCTCACGAGGGTGACGAGAGTTACCCTCACGAGGGTCACGAGAGTTGCCCTCACAAGGGTTACTAGGGTTACCGAGGTCACGTGACCCCCCCGGGGTCACATGACCTAGGAATACCACCCCGAGGTCACGTGACCCCCCGTTGACGTCATCACCACTGATGACGTCATCAGTGACGTCACTGATGACGTCACCGGCATCCGGATCGTCATCGGCATCATCACTGATGACGTCATCAGTGACGTCACTGATGACGTCGCCGGCATCCGCATCGTCATCGTCATCATCACTGATGACGTCACCGGCATCCGCATCGTCATCATCATCATCATCACTGATGACGTCATCAGTGACGTCACTGATGACGTCATCGGTATCCGCATCGTGATCGTCACGTGACCCGTGACTCCCAGGTCACGTGACCCCCAATGTCACGTGACCCCCCCGCCCCCCGAGATCACTTGACCCCCCCCAGTACCCTTCCCTCCTCCTCCTCAAGAGCTGCGCTCTAATTCGGCGTTACAGGGAGTTGTAAACGGCTTTCATTTTTTTTTGTGGTACCGTCATCCTAAAAAAGTGAAAACCGTTTACAAATCCCTGTAACGCCGAATTAGAGCGCAGCTCTTGAGGAGGAGGAGGGAGGGTACTGGGGGGGGGGTGAAGTGACCTGGGGGGGGGGGTCACGTGACCTTGGGGGGTCACGTGACCTTGGGTCACGTGACGATGCCGATGATGTCATCACTGACGTCACTGATGACATCATCAGTGACGATGACGATGCGGACTCCGATGACGTCATCAGCGATGATGACGATGACGATGCGGATGTCAGTGACGTCATCAGTGACGTCACTGATGACGTCATCCGTGATGATGACGATGACGATGCGGATGCCGGTGACGCCATCAGTGACGTCACTGATGACATCATCAGTGATGATGACGATGACGATACGGATGCCGGTGAGGTCATCAGTGACGTCACTGATGACGTCATCAGTGATGATGACGATGACGATGCGGATGCCGGTGACGTCATCAGTACCGATGACGTCATCGGGGAGGTCACGTGACCTCGGCGGGGGGTCACGTGACCCTGGGGGTGGTCACGTGACGGGGGGGGTGTCACGTGACTTCGGGGGGGGTCACGTGACTTTGGGTCTCACGACATCCGAGAGCGCGACATCCGACAGCGTGACATACCGGTTTTTGTGACGTCATTTGTAGCCACTTCGGAACCATTTTGGATGTATGGAAAGCATGGGACGATAAACACACCGGTCGGAGGCGCCCTTCAGGCACCATAGAAGAGTGGACTAAAAAAAACTACATTTTTTCCCGGGGAATGTGCTGCGTCCTGCATGTTGATCTCCGTTAGATGCAAAGAAAACGTATCGATGAGCTTTGTTAACGAAAATTTACATGGTCGACGGGCTGCGTTCTACGGTGAAGATCACAGTAGCTTACACTTCATGCTGCTGCAATATACCTTTTCTTAAAAATCGTCTTCCGCGTGCTCCACCTTTGTCTGCAGCGCTGTGGAACGCCTTCTGAGCAAGCGCTGTAGCTCTGTTGTGCGGTATATCAAACGCAGCGCACGTATCCACATCGCAGTGACTCAGCATTTTTCTCCCGTGGTGATAAGCGCTCGAAACGTTCATACACTGGTATATTCTAACACCTGCACCGTCACATCAAAAATGCAGCAAAGAGAGCATCGCTAAATGTAGAAAGAACGATAGCCACTGGGTAAACTACGACTGAAAGTATAATGACATGATACCCTAGATTTACTGTGACTAAACATCGATATTGTTTTTAATGGGCTAACTAATGTTTGCTTACGATCTTGAAGGCGAACGAGCCGGAGATCTACCTCAAGGCCGGGCGCTTCTCCGACCACAGCTGGTCTCAGGGAGACGACGGCATCCCGGAGAAGAATTTTCTCGAAGCCCATCGCACCCACGAAGTCATCGAAAGAAGTAAGTCGTTACCTTGGGAAGTTTAACACTCGTAATGCGGAGCGCAAATCCGCCTGCTTCTTGCACAGGCTTGGCGATGATGTCCGTACGCCGAACTCTAATTGGCTGTAGTAAAACAATAGTGGGTATACCTTGAGGCATCTAGCAATGAAATCTACCTCCTAGCCTTTCAATCAGAGCCAACCAGAGCTCGGAGTCGTTCTGACGTCACCACAACTCCTGCGCAAGCAGCAGACGAATCGCCCTCCGCATACCACCGTGACATGGTATTCCGTGTAAACTCTACGAGGAGCTCTTCAAGAAGTTTTTACGGTGATGGAATATATCAGGCTATTCATCAACCCTTAAAGGTATGCTCCGGCGTTTTCTTGACAGTCTCGTATTTGCATCGAAATAAACCAAATTAAAACAAACATCGCAGAAGTAGTAACACAGATTTTAGGTCAAATAATATTTTTTTCGCGAGGTAAATGAATTGACAGTTTTGGTCCTCACCTACTCTTTTAAAGTGAAAGTCTCTACTGTCAACAAAACAAATTGCGCCGACGGCAGGAAAGGGTTCATCAGCTGATTACAAGATGTTTAATGGTATCAGATGAATGCTTTGAAAACTCGCTGCACCACCGGCGTAGCTGCACGGAACAAAGCGCGAACACACTCGTTCTTAGACTGTCTGCTCGACCGGCAAGTTTGGCTGCCTATGACGTCACGGCACTAAAAAGCGCGGGTATAGACCATTCCATTTATCGCTCTCTGGGCGGCACCATTTTGTTCGACAGCAGCGCCCTTTCCATACATCCGGGAAATTCAGCGGGTTCGGCGGGGTAAAACGACAGAGAGGGCACGCGCCCGACTCCGCTGGCAGACGACAAAACGGGAGGTTGGCATTCTCCATCTTTGGGCTGTATCGGCGGGCTGTACGGAACATCGAACTCTCGCTCGTGGCTGCCGTTGTGAAGTGGTTCGCGTTATTAGAATAGTTATGGCTCCTCCAAAAGCAGCCTAGAGCTCTCTGTTGTTCTACTTCGGTAAATGATCAACTGACTTATCTTTTTTCCGTTACTTAAATAGCAGCTGAGTCAGCCGGAAGTACTACCCTCACTACTGCGTGTATTGCGGCAGGAGAGCACGTTTTTATTTATTATTTCAGACATCCACTCATGGTCGCTAAAGGCCTACGCCAGTACGAACTTTGTATAATAAAAGAGCTACAGCCACCGGATTCACTTTTCGCCGGAGAGACCGGCCAGTCTGACACAGTTTTCCCAATTTTTTTTTATTTGCACGCAGATAACAGCGCAACTGGTCTCTGTTAGTCTTTTTTATCTAGCACAGTAATACATGATACCTGGCATACTCAAATCTGCGCATCTGCGCTTGAAATTCCCAAAATGACGCGATTTTAAACAGAGTTTGTACGCCAGCCGGATGCTAGGTAGTGCCCACTCGGCGGAGCAGACGACACAGGAGCGAGAGGGGGAGGGCATTTTTTTCTCTTTTTACCCTCTCTGCTATGACCCTAATGGAACGGTCTATACTGGCAGGTTAATGTTGGCGTCACCTTCATTGGTCGTTTTCAAGATTTCTACTTTGAATTTCGCGATACAATATAGCATGCCTTAAAGGGCAAATTTTTCAGGATTCAGAAAGCGTAGTTAGGTTTGGTAGCTAAATAAATCCACGGAGTACCGGGCCATAAAGCAATGCAAAGGTTTAATTTTGCGCAATTCCACAAGCACGGTCACATAACTGTAATGCAAGTACTGTAGTATAGGCGTCCGGCAATAACCAGGCGGCGCGGGCATTTTGTTTGAGGTCAGCGCCGCCTCCCGCAGTGTTTTTTCGCTTTGGGGGGCGGTAACCAACCCACCGCCCCACCACGCCACAAGTCTCATTTAAAAACTCGAAACACCCTGTCGTTCGTTGACCGCGACTAGGGTTTCCTCTCGAGGTTTGTTTGCACTGTTGGGGCGGTCGCTAAATCGGCACGACGTGGCGCAACTTGAATCTGGAAACTTTAGGGCGGAAAGCTCATTATCGTTGCCACCGCTGCAGAGCAAGAAACTTTTTTTTTACTGTGTAGTTTTATTCATTTACTTACAAAGAAACTTGCATCGACGTCTGGCAGTATCGCAAGGGGTGCGTTTTTGCAAAAAAATATTATTCAAACATCCTCGCAATAAAAAAAAAGAAACATGTCGAACACAATTTGTAGAAAAACAAAAGCGGTTATCTCTCACACGAATGGAATGTAAAAGGCATTACAATCAATCAATCAATCAATCATTTTATTTGACAAGGCCCCAGCTCCAGACAGCAGCGCGCGTACAGGCTTTGTTCAAAAATCAAATCTAGAATGAAAACATTGTTCAAGTTCAGAAAAGCAAAAAAAAAGAAAAAAAGACATTAATTTAAAAAGATTCTAATGTAACATGATATCAATTGACACACTACACATACAACACTAAGCCTGAAATTCACAACCTCGACAGTATCAACATTAAAGCTTCAAATGGTAAGCTATGGCTAAGATCTGTTTCAACATTCAGCTTGTTCAAAAAAGATGGAAGTATGTATGTAGGTGATGTCAGTCCATAATTTGTCCGGGGGTGGGTACACTCCACTCTTCACTTCGCTGTGTGTTATAAACACTAGTATTTTTATTTAAATTTGCTACTTGTAGAAAACAACTATGTTTATCTTTTTGTGCTGTTTTATAAGATACAAGAAGGCGGTAGTAATGTAGGGGCGTTATTCTGACAACATTAAAACGGACAAAAAGAGCACCTGTATGTTAAAAATAGGACACATTTGCAACCGCTCTTAGAGATTTTTTTTGCAGAGTTAGAAGTTTGTTTATATTTTGAATGGTACCATACCAGGTGACAATATAGAAAATATGAGGGCACGAGGCCGTGAAAAATTATTAACTTAACAAATGAGGTGAAAACTGTACGGTACCGGGATAGAGTACCAACAGCTTGTCTGGCTTTTTTATGTATGTATTCTATGTGCTCATTCCACGATAAATTATCTGAAAAGATTATACCTAATATTTTGAATGATTTTACTATATCGACAGCCTCCCCGTCTATGGTGATATTTGGGTTAGAAGGAACAGTCACGTTTTTGGCTCGAAACAGCATGCACTTAGTTTCGTTTATGTTAATACGTAATCTATTTATTTCCGTCCAACTGTGAAGCTGCGAGGGCATCTGATTCGCGCTTTTTTCGATATCGTCACAAATCGTGCCTTCCAAAAATAATGTAGTGTCATCGGCGTAAGCTATAACTGTATAATCTGGAAAACTGTGCTCAATGTCATTAGAAAACAAAATAAACAATAGAGGACCTAAAACACTCCCTTGAGGTACTCCTGTATGTACTGTTTTTTTTATAGTTGAGGCTGAATTATCGATTTTAACAAATTGTCTCCGTTCTGCCATATATGACTTAAATAAATTGAGTACATGACCCCAAATACCATATAATTCTAACTTTTTCAGAAGTACACTGTGGTTGACTAAGTCAAAAGCCTCAGAAAAGTAAATATATATGGCTAATGTCAGTAGTTTATGCTCTACATTATTTATGATTACTTCTTTCTGGGCCAATAGAGCGGATTCAGTGGACCTTCCGTTTCTGAAGCCGTGTTGACTGTTCGTTAACAAGGAAAAATGCTCTGAATATGCCGATAGTTTACTATGCAGTATTTTTTCGAACCCTTAGAAAAGTATTGATATTGGCCTATAATTCCCCAACAAGTTAATATCGCCACCCTTAAATAACAAAACAACCTTACCAGTTTTCATAAGTGTAGGAAATACGCCTAAATACACTGAGCGATTAAATCTAAATGTGAGTGGTGTAGCCAAAAGGTCAATAACAAATTTAATTGGTTTAATATTCAAGTCATTTACATCGTCTTCTTTGCTATTTTTTATGCTTCGAAATACCAGCATTACCTCATTTTCATCAGTTGGGCTTAAAAAAAAAGAAAGAATGCGCATGTTCCTTAATATGACAGCATGGGTCTTCACTATTTGTTATATTAGGGGTGCCGGTGGCTAAGTTTCCCAACTAATCATTGAAGGCATTTGCGAGTGACGTGCCAGATAGCTTTTGCCTACAGTGAAAAATTTCTGTTAAAGTGTCTTTGTGATCATGAGGCTTCAATATCCGGTTAATATTTTTCCAAAGTTTATCTGGCTCATTTTTTCTAATGTTACCAAATAGATTGCAATAATATTCTGGCTTGGCTTTTTTCATCAACATATTCAGTTTGTTTCTATATTTCTTAAATTCTACTAAATCATGATAGTCTTTAGAATTTATAAATTTATGTTATAAGATATTTTCTACACGAATTTGTTTTAATAAATCATGGGAAACCCATGGTTTCTTTGCTCTCTTGCTAGGCTTTATGTACTTATAAGGAAATCATTTGTTATAAATGTCTTCGAAAGTTTCCAAAAATGCTTCATATGCTCCATCAGGTGAATTATTGGCATAAACAAAGTCCCAATTAACGGTACCAATATAGTCCCTAAATGACTGCAATCTTTGCGACGTAATGTTACGAGTTCTAAATCCTTATGATTTCTGTTTGCGAGCAGTGAAGTGCGTGTTAACAAGAAGAAAGATGGGTAAATGATCACTAATGCTGCAATAATCACCTGACGCATAAATATCTTTACCTACAGAGTGTCCCTGAGTCTTTACCTACAGAGTGTCCCTGAAAACCGAGTTCCAGCTGGAATGGCTTTGTGGGTAGACGCAAAGCAAGCTGCTTTTGTTTCCACTGCGCTTGTCAAAAGCGTTAGAATGCGAAACACCCCGGAGTCCGGCGTTCGCGTTCTAACGCGTTCAAATAGTGCAGTGAAGGCATATGCAGCTTGCTCTGCGTCTACCCATTAATCATTCCAAATTGAGTTCGATGTTCTGACCTCCCTGCGCGCTGTCGTCTTTTCCCCTCCGTCAATTTTTGACCGTATACCTTTCCTTAGTTAATAAAGTAGCGCCCTTGAGTACCGTTTCTTTAATGATGAGGCTGAAGTTCTGGGAAAATATTTGTCCAAATGGGTTGTGCTATAGTCATACACAGCATAAGCTTATTATCTTCGCGTTTTTGCTTTCTCCGTGATTCTTTATTCAGCGTCCTAATCGGCCAAGTCCGCCATTAGAGTTGGTCACGTAATGCCAATATTAAGATCGGGACTGACCATGTCCTGCTTATCGTAAACTAGTGTTAAAAATACTAAAAAGAAATGGTCGGTTTAAAAGTTCTGAATAAATAAACTCGTCAGCTTCAGTCGGTGGTATCTCTTCACCGTTCACGTCTAACCAACGGCCCGTATTCCATCGACCCATTGGCGAAGTGTACCCGTGCGGTGATCCTCGCATTGTGACCACTGGACCGAATCGACTGCTCAAAGCGAGCGCAGTAATCTAAGCAAGTAACGACTGTAGTCGTACGTACGGCTTCTCCGCCAATGTGTTTGCTGTAGCCGTATTTGACGCATGTACCGCGCAAACAACAGTGGCCCTCGAAGTTCGCTCGATATTTGCCGGGTCCGGAAATGATTCGAGTGGCGCATGGCGTCGCGTCGTTCCCGCTGTAGTCTTCCGACAACCCTTGGTACATAATCCTTCGCCAGAAGCGCACGCCCTGATCGAACAGCGCTTCCGCGGGTAGGTCCGAGTAGCGCAGCCTTGCGACGTTGTTTTGTCTCAAGTTAAAAGAGGGCACCCGTTTTTATTTTTGCTAGTACCGGTTGCAGCCTTCGAGCACTCGCGTGTCGCACTTCGAGTGTTAGCCGCCTATGCGCGCATTCTACCACACGGATAGTTAGGATAATATTGTATAATCTATTGTAAATTTGAAGTCACTTGCACTACGCAAGGTGTGGCAAGTCCTGAGTACCTTAGTTTCGCTCTGCAGCCGATGAGATTCAGACATCTGGTGATAAGAGCTCTGAAGAAGGGAACGCAAAGCAAGGAGTGTCAAGACAATAAGCCGGGCCCTGTGTTTCTAGGTGGCTATAGACGCGAGGCAGAAAGCACGTTCTGCTAAAAGTGACTCGGTAATGACATCTTTGACTCACTGAAACCTTTTTCCAACCGACAGCCATGTTTTACAAGCACGGCAAACATAAACGTTTGTCCGCTGAAAAAAAAAAGAGACGTCCAGATCAGCATTTTGGCTACCTCAGCCATAGTCAGCAGTACAGCTTGTTTACAAACTTGTCTTTTCGTGAATGCCTGGTTGCTCTCGAGGTTAAGAAAGCTGCTATCAAGATGTATTTGGTATACTATCTGAAAACAATACTCGATGCACGTTTGTCCAGTGCCCGAAGCCACGGTCTTTGACTGTTTGTGAGACGCAAGGCGTAGATAATTATGACCACGCTTATTTCTTCGCAATTCGTTCTTCGATGTTCTTGTCGGATGATGTCACAATCTCATTGGCTCTGGAGCAATAAAAACATGAACGGCACTCGCCATGCCATGCAGTTTTGAAGCTGTCAGTGACGTTAGACGTTCAAGTACCTTCGTTTCATCACTTTCACAGGAAGTACTGCTACAAGCTATAGTAGTGCTATTTCTCAACGTGTGAGGTCGGGTGCGCATGTAACTGAGAAATCCTCTCCAATATTCGATTGCTTCGATCCCTTTCCGATTGCAGAGATCGTAGGGCTTTCATCTCCGCTGTCCAGCCCAGAACCCTTCCTGCCTCACGTCGACGCGACGCGATTCGTGCTGACGAGGCCCTCTAAAGTTCGCCGGTCTTCCGTTTCTTCCGGGACCGGTCGGCGGCACCAGTTGAACGGCGAGCCAGTTCAGGGACACCAGGTGTCTTCCACGACAACGACCACAACCCGGAAATCGACGACCACCATCGAAGAACACAGCACCAGCAACACAGTCCACTTACTAAGACTGTCGTCAGCCTCACTATCGGGATCGACTTCAGCGTGTCCTGCTGAGGACGTTCCAGACCAGGGGGTCATCCGGACACACGCCGACCGGACATCGTCTGAGGCTGAAGCTGACGAAGTAGCCGATGCACCGCCTCCGACCACAGCACGAAGAAGGAGTTCTGTCGCTGTTCCAGAAGGTTCCGTCGGCTCCGGCTATCATCGAAGACTGAGCCGGGCCTCTGGCGCTGGGGACACAGCTGGAACAGAAGCTGAAGCTGACGACAAGCTAGGCCCGTCCTCCGCCCCAAGGGGGGCTCAGCGACGGCTGAGTCTTGCGGAGGCTCGTCGGAAAAGCATTGCTGAGCGCGGTGACCTGCTGGCCGTGCCGACGCCACAGCAGTTGAGAAAGCTGAGCTTTGCTGAATCTGTACGAGACGGCAGGGATACGCCTGATATAAGGTGGGTAATCCCTTTGTGCGCCTGTTTTATCGCTTCAAGATTGGCGAAGTTTGAACTAAGGTCAGACTAAAATCTTATTTTATTTATGCCATAGCCTTGACGGGACGTTTTTTTACGCGGTAGTTTTGTGGGTATTCAAATTAGAATCATTTTTTTTCATAATCAGTCCCAGATGAAAGGAACAGTTTCGAGTTAATATCGACCATACTCCAAAAATAAGTTCCCTTGTAAGCCAGCATTCAGTGGCCGCGTTTGAGTTTTGTGCGCTTCGCAATACTATTGTGTGTCTCATCTCTCTACAAGAAAAAACTCTAAATGGTTTAGGTATTCAAACGACACATTTAAGCGGGAAAAATACTGCACGCACTAACACAATACAAAAGTAATGAATTCAAAAGCTAACTTAGCCATCCGTGTATTTTAGACTGAGCATCAAATGCTTTAAATAAACACTCCCCCCCCCCCTCCCCCCCACCCAATCACAAAATTTCGTCCGCCCGTCCGTCCATGTATTTCCCGCTGCATTCAGCGGGGAAACTAAATTTGTGTTTATGTCACGTGACTTCGATTGATATCGCTAACCTGACGTAACATGATGTATACCCCAATTAAGTTTCCCCGCCAAAGTCGGTGTGGATATTGATGTCATGTGCCCTATACACCAACTCAATTTCCTCGCTAAATTTAGCGAGAAAATTTAGGTAACGTGATCTGGCGTCGCGTGACCTATTTTTACTTTCTCCGCTAGATTAAGGAGGAAATTTGAAGTTACGTCACATGACGTCACGAGACGTACGCACCAATTTAGTTTGCCTGCTAAATATCGCGGAAACGTTGACGTCATAAGACCTGATGTCACGTTACATGCTCAAATTCAATTTCCCCGCTAAATTTGGCGGGAAAATTGATGTCACGGGAATTAAACACTTTCGGTTTCCCCGCCAAATTTAGCGGCGCGTGACTGGACGACACGTGCCACATCAATCAAATTTCCCAACTCAGTCTAGGAAGAAAATCGGCCTCTTGCGACCCCGACACAACTTTAGTTTCTCCGCTAAATTTAGCGGGCAATTCGATGCCACTTAAACTATGCACACAGCTTTCTCCTTAACGTACAGGGGAAATGAATAAAAATAACAGTTCGTCACTCCCCGAAACGGCGGTTTAATACCCTCTAAATAATTTTAAACGATCGCACCTTAATACTGAATTTCACGCATTGTAGGCGTTTAGAAATAAAGGTCGCTGCCAATTTTTTTTCCCTATAAGTTAACTGAAACAGTCAGATCTGTGTAACGGCGCTTGACAGGGGAGGTATTTATTTTGCATTATGTTGGGATTTGACGTCTCTGCTATCGAAGGGATATTATTATTTTACCAATTTTAGGTTCCTAACGCTCGCCCTGCCAACGTCAATCCATGGCGAATTTCATAATGTCCGTTCAGGGTGCCGCTGTAGGAGGCAACAACGCGAGCCACCGGTTAGTTTTAAACTGATGTCTCTTCATTTTTTATTAAATAAAGTTTCGGTACTCAGAAAGCTTCGGGAACACTAAACAACACAACCGTCGTTGCTTACCGTTTACGTGTACAATCCAGGCACTCGCGGACACGCGCCAAATTCCCGTTAGCCCCCTCCTCTGAAAACAAATGCCGTACCACAAAATTCTCTGAACTCCACTCCCTCCCCCCCTCCCCGTTCCCCGCCCACGCACACACTCTGAACTCCACACACACACACACACTTCTCGACGCCCCCAGCGTGCAGTGAGCCGACCTGAAAACCCGACCAGACCGAGAACACCGTTCTATTCCCTTGCTGACATCCGAGCTTGACAATGCGGTGGAAGATACCGCCTCGTCGGGCCAATCACCAATCCATTTCTTCGTCATTTGGTTGCGCTTTCTGAGCGTGGATGTGGATGGGAGCGTGATCACATGGTCAAAAGACAGACGTATGATTGGTCCAACGAAGACGTATCTTCCACCGCACTCTCAGCCTAGTGGTGAACGGAGTAAAGTCTGCTCTCGCGTTTTGCTATTTGCGTCCCATGCGCGTCTTCACGCTCCATTTTACCTTGCGATGGACCGTAGCAGGTGCTAACGATTCGTCCCAGCCAATCTACGGTCCCGTATTTGTCACGTGACCAGTGGCGCATTTTGTGGTGGGTTCATGGCGCTGCACTGGCTAGAAGCAGTGTTGTGACGTGCCGTTACCGCAAATAAGTAACTAATTAGGTTTACTGGCTGGACTGTTAAATATTATCGCGTTACTGAGATTCATAGGGAGTGACACAATACCGTTACCGGAACGATAACGTTATTTCGTTACTTGTGAAATGTTAAAGTAGAAAAAAGAATAAAAAGCATACTGAGTTATATGAAATAAAAATACGAAAACCTAAATTAATCTTGAGGTTTCAATTTAAGGTTAAGCGATGCCGATTAAGATTATATTGTAAGGAAACCCGCAAAAATTAAGGTTTCGTTAGCTCTTAGGAGTAACTCCCAAGAACTAAGGAAACCTTACTTTTACGTTTTTCTTAAGATTTTAATGTTGTTCGGCATCGATAATCCGTGGATATGAACCTCAACAATAATTACCATTTTTGCGGATATTTATTTGATAAAACTTAATATTTATTTTAATGAAATGTGTAGATTTTTTTTTGTGCTGATTGAATTGACTGTGCCTAATTAGTATATCTTTAGATAATGCCGCAAAAAAGAAATTATTTTTTTTAACCTTTCTTGAGCGGTTTACAGGTTGAGGATTTATTTGCTTTTACGCTTGAACGACAACAAATATTAATGGAAGTAACGGGCAGCGAGTAATGTAATATTATAGACGATGCCATGAAATAGTAAAGAGAATATTTTAAGGACAGAACGAGCGGGTTGGTAGGGATAATTAAACTTGAGGAAGAAAACGAGAAGGGACAGACAAACACAAACTTCCAACTGGCAACAACATTGAATGACACCAAGAGTTTGCTCGTCTTCTCGCTTTCTCCCTCAAGTTTCTCGTTTTCTTCCTTAAGTTTAATTAAGAATATTTTACTCGTTAGTAATCTAGAAACCTAACCAATACGTTAGAATGTAGCGGAAATATGTAACGCGTTACCAGTAGCGTCGTTTCTTGAAACGCGTTACTTCCAACACTGGTTCGAAGGGTACTCGTAGCATCTACTGTGGTTCATCCTAACGTGAAAAGAGAGTATGGCTCTCCTTACCTGCACGCCAACTCGTAATGATGCAGCCTGCACCTTGGTTAGAAGAAACCAGACGGTCGTTAGGCTACGCGGAGTTCGTCGCTAGAACAGCGAACGAATTTTCTTGTTGAAGGATTCGCCAAATCCTACCGAAGCCGAAAAACAACAAGACCGAAACAAGGGGTTTGTGAGGCACAAACGAGGTGGTGGCAGGCACCGACCTCCCTTTTTTTTTTCTTGTTGTGCTGTGGTTTGGTGTTGGCTGCAGCCAGCAGTGGCGGCGGGGTCTGGTAATCCTTTCAGGATTCGGGTTTGTCCTCGCTGCTTTGTTTACGCGCGCTCCACTTAGAGCAGCAGGGCAGAGTTGCTCGACCTACGCAGACGGAAAACAAATAACAGAAAAACGGCGTGCCGTATTTAGAGTTGCTAGGGGCAACTGCGGATGAAATGCGTTTCTGTCTGGCCGGATTAGCCCTCGCCTTCTCGTTTCCTCTGTTGTTAGCGGCGAATTTTTCTTTTACGGTGTACTAGGTCGCAACTTGCTGAGGGCCAATTTCGAGCTGCCTTATATACCGGAATACGATAGTAGCAGAATAGATCAGTCGGGGATAAGTAGGACAACGCCAAAAGGACGACGAAACGAAGGAAGGTTTGTATCGTGTGATCGGTTTGAGAAGCGTTGTTGACCTCGAAGCGTTCCCAAGGGCACCAGCCGAATAGCAATCTGGGCTCAGACGTAGTTTCGTGTTCTGGTGATTCCCCGACATCTTGCTGGATTTCAGGCGCAATAAAAATAACGCTAAAAAGAAAAAAAAAAAAAAAACTTAATAGGAATCTAAGTTTGAACATTTTGCATTGACCGCACTCTACGCCGTGTTGCGTTGTATTGTGTTGCCCAACTACACATGCCGCCGGTTTTGATTGAAGTGTGACTGTGTACAGTCACTGCAAACTTAAGAAATGCAGGGCGTGACGAGTCCCAGGCATATCATTATCGCGCCTAAGCCAATGAGTTTGCGGCATCAGTCTATAAGAAAACCAATTAACCAACCACAAAGCAAGAAGCGTGAACATAATGGGACACGCCTTGCGTTTCTTAAATTGTCGGTGACTTCTTTGCAATGTTAGGAAGTACCTTAAGTACATCGTACTTAAAGCAGTACTTCAAGTAGACATAGAAAACATGTACTCATTTAAAGTACATTTTATGAGTGTCTACTCGTACTTTACTTAAAGAATTTTTTTTCTGGTAGAATACGAGGAAAGTATATCTCTCAATTTCAAAGCGCGTTCCCTAATTTTGGCGTCGTTAAATTTGTATCATAAATTGGCAACTCTGAAGAAATGCCGAGAGGGATATTTTACTCTCACTAAAGCCGCGAGCAGACGACGCACCACTCTCTTTTTATGGGGGTAGCTCGGCGTAAGTAAGCTTTCTTTATTAGTGCCCTAGGCTTTCCCAGTGCTATAGATATGTTTCGAGCTCGAATATAAGATTTCACCAACCTCTGAAGGCCCGTTCACACTTGCGACTTGGAACAGTCACTGGAGCTACTAGCGACAAGCGACTGGCGACCACCAGTGTTCACACCTGATTGAGCGATCGACGAGTCGCCAGGCTCGCTACCTACTTAACGGATGATAATCAACACATTCCCGAGTCGGCTGAACGTTTTTTTTTTTTTTTTTTTTTTTTTTTATCAAAGGCGACGGCAGAAAAAAAAAAAAGAAACTTAATGGTGCTTTGGAACGTAAAACAACGGCTATATGTGCGCTCCCTCAACCGTG